TAAGTACTGATGAATATCGATAGATTAACTGACCGTATGTAGTTGCTTCATCTTAACCACATAAATGTTTGGTTACCATAAAGTTTTCTCACTCTAAAAAAAAAAGGAAAAAACATTTAAATATTGCAATAGTGTAATTTATTTAAGGTTTCCACTCTCCTGAATGTGCAGTCATGTAATAATAACCCAAAAACTTGAAGCGGTGTCAATGCAGAGCTTGATTTCACCATTCTCAGGTGAATTTTTGTGTCGTTTACATCAGCCGACACAGGACATTTGAGGAAGTCTTCAAAAAGAAGTTGAATTGAGGAAATACACTGTCTCCGAGCTTATATTCCGCGCTCTCATCAACATTTGAAAATGCACGTTCCACTTTCCTTGAGGTGTGTTTGATGAGGGGGAATAGAGCAAACAGATGTCTGGGGACTTTGCCATCAGAGGCAACATAGGAGTGTTTACAGTAGCAGTCCCAGCCACCACAAAGATGAGGATACGGGCTCATTGTGTGTTTGTGTTTGATTCTTATTTTTTCTTTTCGTCTTTAAATCAGACAATAAACTTGAGTCTTGGCTCTTTGAAATTCAGAACCTCATTGTCATGCCTGCAGACATTTTTTTCTTTTTTCTGAGAAGCAGCATCACATTAGGTTAATTTCTCATTAGCTCACAGTAAACTGAAAGCATTAAAAATTGAGCAGAGGAAATTAAAAATACTTCTGATTAGGGCAGATTCAATTCATGTAAAAATCTTCAGAGCAACTGGAAACAAGTGAGCATTAGTGATTGTTGCCTTGCAATAGCCAGGTGTGATTTGACCTGATTCCTCTTTTAATCAGTTCCTATGAACAGCTAACACAGATATGGTCACTTACTGAATAATTAGCATGTTTATTTCTTCTTTTGATATTTACAGGTGAAATTTGACATAAACAGTCACAAGAAAGATAAAGCTTTCAGATATTGTTGCTTTTATTTCAGTGTATTTGTCAGATTTTCCCACATGGTTACATACAAGCCTTTGTAACATCCAGGTGCCGTGTAGTAAGGAGCATCATCAGCATTTGCAGGAAGATGGTTGCTAGTGGATACATAGTCTATCTCCATTTAAGGAGCACGTGATGCAGTGATACTAAGAGATCAGGTATAAATGAAGCCACAGTGAAGTTTAATCCAGGAATCATCATGTATGATGAGGCTGACGTCCTGCTTTGTTGCATATTCAGTGGCTGCGGAAGAGATGTATGCTGACAGTGTTGCTAGGAGACCACACACAGTGACTAGTGTGAGCGGCTTGATTTCATCTCCCTCCCCCATTCTTGTAGTCTGGCTGCCTTTCAGTGTTCCTCTATTCTTTCATCCTCATACTTTCCTCCATTTTCTCTGTTTCTCCCCTCATATATTCCCCGTCCCAGTATTCCCCTCTATCAGTCTGTCTACGGTGAGTTTTCCACTTGATTATATTCATCTTCTTGCAGGGTTGATTTCTCAATGACTCTCTGTTTGTCGGCTTTCCCCATTTTTCACCTTGCCCCCTCCCGTCTCTCTCCGACTGCCTCCATCTCTCCTCCTATATGGCTGTGTGCGTTTCAGGCTGCTCATTCTTCTCCTGAATGCTTTGCTTTTCGTCCTGACTCTCTGCTGTTTTTTTTCCTCTCACGCCGTTTGTTTCTGTGGTGGAACTGCAGTGCTATGGTTGAGGAGTCAAGATGCACCAGTGAGGCAGACAGAAATGCCTGTGACAGTTGGGAGAAACCAAACAAATCCAAGCATATACGTATATGTAGACTGACTGGCCCCCCAAAAACTTACACTCTCATATTTTGTTGGATCATCTTTAGGTTTTACTTTAGAATCCATTCTCTATCACATTGTTTATAAGTAAAGTCACAACATTCGTTTAAAAAAAAGACATGCATTAATTTGTATACTAAGATCAAGTCGTGAGGATTTGGACTGCTGTTTAAAAGTGTTCTCTAAAACATCTCAGGTCTTAGGTGTAGTATATCATCATTTTTTTCCCATCCCAATGCTTCCATTACTCTTATTAAGCATTAATCTAGACTCATAAAAATAAATGACCTTATTTCTTTGCTCCAGAATCCAATCTTATCGCCCCCCAGAAAGTGTAAGCCTTTCTTTTCTATAAGCCTCAGTTATAAGTTATTTTCTTACATCTTTTTCATGTACATGAACATATTTTAGGTATTAAACATTACAGAGGCTTGTATGATTTTTTTTTTTGACTGATGATCCCTGATTCTTATTCAGTGATAATTTTTAAATCACTATGTTTCTTGGTCTTAAGTTACATATGTTTACTTGTTGTGGACAATAATTTCATCCTTCTGAGACAAAGCAACAACCTTTCCACGACCACGTCTTCCTTCACGATTTGTTTTTAGGAATTACATCAGTTCGGACCCGTGAACACGGTGCCTATTGAAACCTATTATTACTTACTTCCTGATTACTTATCCTTTTTTTTGTAAACCGTATAAGCATTTGTCGACACACAAAAAAAACACAGGTTTCCTCCCATCTTGATTACATTCACCTACTGCATTTCATCATTTGATTGGGGCATGTTTTGACTAATTTCAGGTTGATTACTTGCAAACCTTAGCGTCATGTAAGAAAAGCTCACATTAAGAGCCAGCTGTGCATAAGCTAAATACCAGAGTACAAGATGCCTGCCCTTTAAAACTAATTGTTCTTTGCAAAAGCAGTATGTCTTATGAACATGGGAAGGGGGAAATAAATTAATCCAAAAAGGGCACAGGTTGGTATTTGTAGCTCAGTTTCAGATAGTCTTTGCTTATGTTTGCAAAACACAAAGGTAGAATAGGCAGGATAACCCTGAGTAATTAAATAGTTGTTTTTTTTATACGTTTTGTACTCTTAACAAAGGCCAAGCGGATGCCATGATGTGTCACTCCACTCAGCAATGTTACTGTCCCGCTCACAGCGAGGCGCAGCAACACTGCTGGACCGCTCGCTGCGATGGTGGCTGGAGGGCAAAGAGCTGCTGTACAAAGCCTCCCACATGTGTTAAATCCAGCAACCGTGATAGAATGAAGGATTTCAGACAGCTGATACAGTAAATGTACCAGCTTAATCTGTTCTTTTACCGTATTTTTATCTAAAAAGACCCCTTATTCTCAACATGTCCATTTTATTTTATTTTATTTTTTTAAAGATTTCACTTTTTAACATACATGTCATACATTCCTTAACATCAGTTACAAACAGTCAAATCAGCAGCTCTGAATCTTCAGTTACAGCTTCTCAGTGTGTGCGTGTCAGTGTATTTGACATATGCAGAAGTAAGTGTGCGTGATGCGTTTGCTGTGTGCATGAATGAATCGTCTGTAGAACTGCATGCGAACTGTGTTATTTAAAATATAGCTCCATCAACCTCCCACACCCTCACCCTCCATACTAATAAAGAATTCAGACTACCGGTACTCCTGACCCTGCAGGCACTCCTGACACACCTATATCTTCAGGCAAACTGAATTTATTCAGGTTATAAAGTGACTCAAATGACTGATCACCGCCAGCTGCTATGAGCATATTGCATGTTTGGTTTGTTTTAAGAAGACAAATCTGTCTGTAGATAAAAGATGGAAGCCTTCTTCTGCTTGGCTAATTGTATACCAACGCACAGTGCGTAATGTGGCAATTGCAGGCCTGCCTGCTCAGCTGCCAGATCCTAGAAACCAAAATCAAAGCTCCACTTAACAAAGGCCCAACCTACAATCGCAGCTCCCTAACCTAATTAACATTGAGTCAGCAAGCATGGCAGCAGCAGTGGTCGAGGTTGTGGTCAGGTCTGTGGGATACAAGAATAGCAGTAGCCACGCTGACATGCTGGATGACACACTGGGCCATGACAAAAGAATCACACACAGCCACACAGATCAGCATGCCGCCTGGCCCAGGTGACAGTGCCTGCTGCTCCTGGGCTGTAGGTTCTGTCTTTGTGGTAAGATGTGGTTGAGAGGTTGCGTGAACTGTGAAGATGGTGTGCAGTTGGGGGTAAATGTTGCTTGAATTTTTCTGTTGAGCTACAAAATCAGGTACTGTTGTACTGTTCTATTTTCATTTCAGTTGCGGTGCTTGTGTCTTTTGCCATCATATTTCAGTTTACATAAAATTGAGTTCAAATCCAGTTTTACTATTGCATGCTGTGAATACATAACTTAGATTTTGGAAGGCATCACCTGAGACAAAAAAAAAAATGTACAAAAATTGACCACACTCTGTAAATCATACACTTTTATTGAACAAATATACAACTCAACTAAACAAACTGAAGTCAGAAGCATATGACCTAATTCGTCAGTATTTCCCACCAGAACCCATTCTTTAAACTCAGTTTCTATTTATGATGGAAAAACACTAGCAACATGCATCAGCTGACAGCTGCTCTTTTCTTAGCCAGTTGTGATGCTCGCTCACATTCCCATACATGAATACACGGTTGGACTCTCAAATATCTGCCCTACAACAAGCCTGGCTTCTCATGGGGGGAGCATGAACAGGAAGCTGTGCATGCACTACATATGACAAACCACATTACTTTCTGTTTAGCAGACAGGCTTAGATAGGCCATCCCAGGGCCCGCAGCCAAAGATGCTCTGCAGCTGAGTTACCATGCTTACTCAAATAGTCATAACTGGATAATGAAAGTATAAATACACAAGCGGTTGGGGTAAACAAAAACAGCCAAGTCCTCATGCATCACTGTTTCGTAGCTGTGATTGCTGCAGGTCGGAGTAATGGACAGGGATGTTCATTTTGACACAATGAGCATCGTAAACTATGACTCTCATGGAGTTTTGCCAGTGATATGGATTCATATGGGTGTTCATGTGGTGCTTCCACATCACATAGTCTTCACTGTAAGTTGTGCCAGTTGAATGCAGGCCGGGAAGCTGTTACGTGCTTGTTCAATGATTAATGTCCTCAAACATTGCTCTTGTTTCTCCTTGTTTAAAGGAGGGAAGCCAGAGGCACGGGTCCACTGTTTCTGAGTCTTCTTCAATACCATGAGCTCTGGCTCTGCCCAGGATGTGGCAGTCGAGCATTTCCTGCGTGACATAGAGAGGCGAAGCAAGCGGCTACACTGCGCTGTGATAGGCTGCGAGGAGGAGCGATCCCGCAGCGACATGAACCTGCTGTATCGTAAGAGCCGTTTGGACTGGAGGCAGAGAGACCAAGAGGGAAGCAAAAAGAGGTGAGTGGATCCGCGCACAGGAGCTCTACATATATGGGATTAGAGTACGGTTCAGTTCGCTGGCAATATAAACCTCTTAACCAGTGTCAATGAGTTTAATTTCCTAATCTTTGTTCATGCAGAGTTCATAAAGTCAGAGGGGGTTCACCGCAGAAGTCTTGAATACATTTTCATTGCAGTGGATCACAATGAAGTTCATATGTTCAGTTGATGAGAGGGATGAATACATTTTGAGAAGCTGTGAAGAAAATTTGGGCCACTGCCACTGAGAGAGATGTGAAAATGGATCTTTACATACATAAAGATATATAAAGATACATTTATATATATATCTTTATATATATCCATGTATATAAAGATATACATTAAGAAATATAAGATATATATGTCTTTATGTATATACATATATAGACATATATATGGACTGGGGCTGAAGCCTATCCCAGCCTACATTGGGCAAACTTAATATAGTCCTTTCGAATTTTAAAGTTGGAACCTGTCTCAAAAAAGTAAAGAGGGTAAAATAAGATTTTCTGAAAAAAAATATCCTGAGGAACATGTTACAAATGACTAGTTAACAACAGGCAAATAAACCAAAAGTCATTTTGAGATAATAATGTTTGATCTGAATTGGCACAATTTGAATATGACTTTAATTCAAGAATTTAATTGAACTAGATTGGAAAATTGTATTGAACTAAATTGAAATGATGGAACTCTGAGTGAATAGATCACTAGAAAAAAGGTCTTTCAGCCAAAATTAGCAGAACAATTGACCACAAATTATTCTAAAATTTCAGAGTAAAAATCACACAAATCTGTGAAGTCTTTGAACATTTCATCCAAAGAACATAATATCATCAAACGACTCCTAGGCTCTGGATTCATCTCTGTGTAGGTGGGACAAGACAGAAAAAAATATTGGATTTCTGTGATCTTTATGCCCTTAGGTGATACTGTATTTTTTTTAAAAACATGAGTCTGTCATGACAGGTCCTGCATGGCTTCAGGAGCACTGTCTGTGAACAAAGCATCATCCTCAAATGTAGGTGTAAGCTCCATCTGCATCTGAATATCCTACAAATGCTACCCTCTTTTCTCTATCAAAGTTACTTTAAAATCAACTGAGGTGAAATGGAAAACTATTTACTGATAATAAATATACAATTCAAGTTTTTTTTAAGTCATGGTTGCTATGTCCCTCTGAAGAAGGACCATCTGGCTTGTAATCAGCACTCAGTTCAAAAGCCTACATCTCTGATGGTATCTGGGGGCATTAATGCCCGTGGAATTGGAAACCTGCATGGATCAAGAAAGGCATCATCTGAAAAGTACATGCAGACCTTTTAAGAATATATACTCGCAACCAGATGATATCTTTTTATGGGAAGTCTTGCATATTACAGCCAGATGAAACTGTGTGATTAATTGTATCCGTTACAACAGCATGAGTCACAGCAGAAGAGGCAGGGCGCTGGACACGCCAGACTTATCATGGACTGAACAAAAATACCCATTTATGAAACTCAAATATCAAGAAGCTGATAGTATGAATCCTTTATCAAAGACAATGGAACAACATCTGTCTTCTAAATGTGCATCGAATCCTTGGTTCTGAGATGTGTCTGGGCTAAAAGACGAAGGGTGACCACACAGCTATGTCCAAACTTTCAAAAACTTATTTCTACTATTTAAGACGAGCTACTCTTATACTTGAAGGAGGAGAGTGACTTTCTTTCAGTGTTCCTTCTTCCTTTCAGTGTTTTCTGTGCTCTGCAGTCAATAAAATGTGGGTTTGAAAAGGTTTTGAAATCATTGCATTTGGTTTTTATTTGGTTTTACCCGTTTTTTTGTCACTAACCTATATTGATGTTTTTATATCTATTGTTGGGTTCTTTGGTGTAGCCTGTGGATACCTGTTCAACCTCTGCCTGCTAGCATTGTCTCAGTAGAACTGAGTAGTTGTTGTTAAACACGGTGCGGTACGTGTTCAGGGCTCTAATCTCTGCACAGTTACAGCCCTGTTAGCAGATGATTTATCAGGGGCAGCTCCCTTTTCTGAGTCTCCCAGTACAAGTAATACTCAACATTAAACCACCACACAGACTTGTACAGTATATACAATTAAATAAATAAAGATAATTAACTGCATGAATAATTTTTGTGAATTTCAGGTCAAACTTGATTTGATTGCATGTTGATGAACAAAGTAAAGCGAAGCAGTCCGATGAAGGTGCGTTGACATACTGTCATCACACTAACACGTCAGTATTGTTTTAAAAAGAGCGTGTGAGTGCATGTTGAGCATCTGAGAGGAGAGTTACCATGCAAATGTGAGTCACCACCAATTCACCCAATTTAATATTGTGTGCATGGCTAATTAGGGATAAGAGAGTGAGCATGAAAGACGACAGTTCAGTTTGTTTATGAGTTTTAGGCAGTGTTTTGTGACTCACAGCTGTAATTGGAAATACTCATGCTGGTAGCAGAGATCAACCTCATGGCAGCATCAGGCCAGTGGCAGGGACAGCAAGTAGGAAAGCGGGACACGATGAGTGATGAAATTGGGGAGTCGAGCAGGGCCAGAGCAGCAGAGGCAGGAGGCGGGACGTGACTGGTGATGATTAGGAGCAGGGTAAGGTCGGGGACTTTAGGTACTCAAGGCAGGTGACTGGCTGGTGGGAACGAAGGAGAAAGGATGTGGAGGGACAAAGTAAACAGTCTGAAGGGTAGACAGGAAGGTTAGACAGTTTGAGATCTTGGGGCCCCAAGAGAGAAATCACATTATAAAGCAGAGGCGGCTGTTGAGATACAGAATGGCAAATAGGTGAGTTTCAGTTTGAGTTTTAAAAATAGAGTTGGTTTCTTATGGCACTAATACAGGCAGACAGACTATTCCCAGTAGTGATGTATGGAGAAAAGAAAATCTTGCTCTCAGCTGAGGTTTTATTCAAACACAGCACTTTGATACACTTTGTATATCACACTAATCCATTTAAAGGAATTCAGAGATTAAGGAGACTGGGATAACTGAAAGGCAAATAAACATATACATGCTCTGCTGTTGCAAACATCAAATCCACCGATGAGAGATATTTTGATCCAAGTATTTTCATCTCAGTGGTTAAAACTTGCAGAGCTGGCTGTGCAGTTTTATCATAAAAACAATTTATTGCAGCTGTCAGCCAAGCCTCATGATCACAGAAAATAAGTAACGAGCACATGAATAAAAAACCTCAAAGCTAAGGTCAGCTTTACAAGGGACAATGGCGTGTATTATCTTATAGGGGATGTTTCAGGAAATGACTGTCTGTGTACTTATTCACTGTGAAGATTGAGTCTTAAAGAAGGCTGTAGGTTGCTTTAGGGGTATCAACAACTGTAAGTCACATGCTACTAAACAATACCACAATACAGTAAGGGATCAGTAAGTTTTATTGTTGTGTGTTAAACCACCAGGCACTTCCAGGGAAAGAATCACATTTGTTAAGAGCCACACTGGAGACAACCCATAACTGAAGGCAATCAATTAAAGTGTCATATATTGTGTCAAATACGTCAGTAAGCTCCAACAGAACAAGGACAGCTCCGCACTCCACGTCAGCGTTTAACCTGAGCTCTTTATGAGTGATTACTTAATCGCTCCGATTTGCCCCCAAACCAGACAAATGTTTTATCAGTTCCATCTATATAAAATGTATTTGATAATGACGACATACAATCTCATTCAGCTTCCTAAACATTCTCTGAAAATGGAAATAGGACGGTAGCGACTACAGGCAGAATCAGCTAAACTGGTTCTTTGGGGTGGCAGCAAATTAAATCCAGTACAGCCTTTGAAACAATGGGGGATATCTTGTACTGCAAAGAGATGGTATATAGCAACTCTGCACAAAGATTAAGCTACCAAAGTAGTCCAGTTTGAATGAAGGTAACCGTCACGTCCATTCCCCTATGTCTTCTTTTATCAGCTTGTTAGGATAAATATGTTATGTGGCAGTCATGAAATATTGAATAAAGACAGAATGTTATCATGCTAAAAGGATTACAGTGTTTGGGATACGTTCAGTGTTTACACATTGTAGTGTGTTTCATTGAGGTATTAACCTAAGATATTTAATGATTATGAGAAATCCGCAATTTTATGAAAACTCAAGTAAAATGTTAAAAATCACTTTGTTTTCTAAAATCTAAGTTTGACATTTTTTAATTTTTTGGATTTTTTTTTTTCTTGTGTAGTACACATTCATAGTGAGATTAGTTGGTTAAGTAGAACAGATTTTTTGTCACCCATTACCAGCGTTAAGACAAACAGTGTCCCTCTGTTTACTGTCTTGATAATAAACTGATCTAACCGGCTGCTGCTGTAGCTCCATGTTTAAGGGGCAGATGTGAGCAGTTTATTGATTTTTCTATTCATCTTTACTTTAAACACAGCAGATTATAGGCTCTTTGTAAAGCAACAAGAGACTGAGAGTCCTGATAGTCTTTAAACAGCCGCGTCTTTGGTCTCATTGTTGGGAGCTTCTGCCCTTAGAAGAAATAAGAGAAAAACAAAGCTCTTCAAGCTGCTGGAAGGGAACCGCTCAGCGTCTGTTCTGAGCTAAATTTGGCCCTCTAGTATCTATGTGGATTGTGAGGAGTCACTAGTGCATCTCTACAGGCATTCAAGGGCACAAACATACTTGTACTGATGCAAATGCACTCTGTCGCTGGATCACATGCACAAGCAAACATACATGTGCACACACAACGTCACGTATAGTAAGAGAAGAAGTCTATGTGTTCTCCCAGCAGCCTCAGTCTCCTTCTGCTGTTTGCAATGTTGAATACAAATTGTAAGCTCCAGTTGCCTTCTTTTGTGCTTCTCTGCCTCACCGTGATCACAACTGTGCAGCATGACTTGTCATATGTTGCCATTATTTAGTACGATGAATCACTTACAATAGTTGTGCTTTTGAGCTATGTAATTACACACTCTGAGACTATTTCTTGCTGGCTTAAACAGACATGAGTATCAATATGGGCTCCTGTTTTCCTCTTGAATATAATAGACATTCAAATCGGTACACATTAATGCTTTCTTTCCCACAGTGGTGACAGAGTAGGCACGGCTGTAATGACAATAACAGCAATGACACATCTTTTGCTGCTGGTGGTTGAACAAGCGAGCATTCGCTGAAAAGGACACCACACAGCTGTAGCACCTGTCTGTACAGCAGCAGCAAGTTGAGGCTTGTCAGAAGCCATTTTGTAAGCCTTTGGTGAACTCAGCAAGGTATCAGGCATCACGAAAATATATTAGTATCAATTACTGACCTTACACTTATATATGACGTACAGATTCAGTATTAATGATTCATCAACAATAGCACAATAGTCAGAATTCATGTCGAAATATTTTCTGTATTTACCATCTCTCTAATTAGTTATAAAACATATTTTGAAATATTACTTAACACCTAACAAAACCAAATGTGTTCATGTATATAGAGGCTATTGTAACAATGAATCTATGGCAAATAACTGAAAAGTATCTGAAATCCTGCATGCCACCTAATTAGAGGTTACGGCTCTAAATACCCCACACAATATCAGATATTCAAAATACATAAATCAATCCTAGCTAATCCCCAGTCTAAAGATAAAACTGTTGTATTTGGTCTGATTTTGCTATTTTTTCTTTGTTTTATTTGTTGTTGCTGGAATCTGTGCCATTGATTATTTCAAAGACAAACTGTCAAATAGTAGAAACTAACAACTGTTCCCATGGTAACAGATTAAATGCTTCTGGCAATCCTCAGCACAGACCACAGATGTGCATTGAGAATGTAAACATGAAAAGAAAAAAGGGATTCTGGCATAACTGGACATTTCTACTGCGATTAAAACGGTGAAATAGATTTTCAATGTGTAAGCTTATGGAGCGGTCCATGTATCCCAGGGTTTTCCTAAAGCAGGGAAATCTTTCCAGGCATTTCTTTATTGCTAAAATCATTTTTGAAGTCCAAAGTGTTAGTGAGGGATCACCATATGGGTTAGTACACAAATGTTTTTCCCCTTTACTTTAATGTCTTCATGATTCAAAGTATTTCCTCGGTTATCGTTCCCTAACTGCAGCTCCGCCCAAAACGACCCAGCAGCTACAGTTGGAAAAGTCAGAGACTTGGCCTCCTTCCGACGGCACTTTCGAATGGGTTTCATGACCATGCCCGCCTCCCAGGACCTGTCCCCTCACACCTGTGCCTCTGCGATGGCGCCGCGTTCACAGTCGTGCCATGCCGTCGGTGCTGGGGACGCAAGTCTGGAGAATGGGGATTACTCAGACACACAGTCCCAACATGGCAGCCGCTGCCCTCCAGCCAAGCCCAAACGTCATCCAAGCACTCGCCTCAGCTCGTCATCCGCTGACAGCAGAGGACCTCCAGAGACCCCACCACCCCCTCCGCCCTCTCACTCACAGTCTAAACACTCAGAGAAGAAAAATGGTAAGACAGCTTTTTAAATGGATGTTTTCTATGAAGAAAAACGACCTCTGCCCTTGACATTCTCTTTGTCTTTTGTGTCTTTTGCAGCCATGAAGAAGTCTGACTCGGGAGATATTGGGACAAAGAAGGTGCCTCCGTTAAAACCCAAGAGAAGTCCCAGTACTCAGCTTACGTTCGACCCTCTTCCTCCACGTGTGCCTCCTTCCGCTACATCTATGCCGTTTCAGGCAGCAGACTCTCAGATTCAAACAGGACATGGGGACGATGAGCCTGTTTATATAGAGATGGTGGGACAAGTGTTCACCAGAGACAGCCAGATGGCCACTCCCCACCCTGTCACCCCTGTGGCCACCACACCGGACTCTGACTCAGACCAGAGCGAGGCAATATATGAAGAGATGAAATATCCACAGCACGAGGACAGGGGGTCCCAGAGACACTTCCCTCCCAAACACGAGAAGCTCAAATCCTCCAAACACTTCCATGTCACCCCCTCATCTGCCAACAGCTCTTCTTCTCTGCCACGCCCTTCCTCTTCCTCCCCTTCCTATTCTAAACCTAAAGCTACAGTGTCAATCTCCCACTCCTCTCCTCTGCCTTCCTCAGCTTCCTCCACTCCTGTTCCTCAGGTCCTCTCCACCAGTCCCCACACACCACGGGCCCCTACACCTTATTTGTTGCAAGGGAATAAATCTGAAATGGAATCCAGCACGAAGATCCCAGCCCCTTTCCCTAATCTCCTCCAGCACCGACCCCCACTGCTTGCCTTCCCTCAGCCTGCAGCTGCCTCCAGTGGGGTTGGAGTACAAAACAAGGCATCTGCTTCGGCGAAAATGGGAACTCAAACCTCCAGCTCGTCAACTCAAGCCGGCATCTCCTCCTCGACTTCATCTAATCTTCCTGGATCTCTGTCAGGGTCCAAGGAGTCGTCGGGAGGAGGTGGAGCGCAGCAAGACAAACACAGCAGAGAAAGTCAGTTAGGTCCTGCTCCTGGACTCAGAGCTAGAAGTCACTCCACTCCGCTACCTCCCTCCTCCAAATCCACATCCCCCTTCTCGCACCACCATCACCACCCTCACCATCGCCCCTCGCACTACCATCACTACCGCAAACCAGACAGAGGTGACTCCCCCGCACCAATTAAGAGCAGCTCCCAGACTTCAAACCAGGCCACCGTGCAGACTCAAACCTCAAGTACAGGCAAGGAGGGTAAGTCTGTTAGCTTCCTCTTGAAGTCTGATAAAGGAGAGAGGGATAAGGACAGGGACAAGGATAGGGACAGGGACCGAGACAGGGACCGGGACCGAGACAGGGACAGGGACAGAGACAGGGACAGGGGTAGAGACCGGGACAGGGAGCGTGACAGAGACAAGGAAAAGGACAAAGAAAGAGATAGAGACAGAGAGAGGGATAAAGAAAGAGACAGGGATAGGGACAGAGATCGGGATAGGGACAGAGATAGGGATCGGGACAGAGACAGGGATCGGGACAGAGACCGGGATCGGGACAGAGATGGAGGGCCACAGTCCTTACCAATAGAAAGCTCCACCAACATTAGTGGCCAAACACCTCAAAGCAGCACCAGCTCAACCCCTACGCCACTATCCTCATCTCAGCGTCCTCATTCCCGCTCACACCATCGCTCTCACACCCCTCATGGCCTACCAGCATACAAACCTCCGTCGTCAGACAGTCCCCTGCTCTGGACCTACCCCTCCGGTGGTTTCAGGAGGCCACCAGCATACGAGAGCCTGAGAGGCAGCTCTCAGACCCCTTCTTTACAGCAGCCCTCGAGTCTTACTGGTGTAGGTGAGGGAGGGTCCAAGAGCAATGGAGGATCTTCATCGCTCCAGTCAAAAGTCGGCTTCATGCCCTGGGACAGCCATGCCAGCTTAGTTGCAGACGAGGGATCTTACTGGCCTATGCAGAGGAAGCTCTCCTTCAGCCATGGGAGCAGAGAGACGGAGAGTAAGTCAGAAGTCACTTTCTTTTTGTCGTGCACACCCTATATTAAGATAAGCAAAAGAAATAGAATTATTTCAAAATGTATTCAAGTAGATACTTTGTGCTTCTACCCCTAATTTAGAAGATGAAGGACGGGCCTGGAATGGCAGTGCTGATGCTCTGTTAAGGATGGATAAAGAAGATCTTGGAATGAGCTCACGAGGGGGTCACTCAGGCATCCCGGTTCATTTTAGCAGTGCTGCCAGCAGGGCCCACGCTCACAGTGAGTCCTTAGCAGGTGTTGATGGCACCCCCGGATTCAGAGCTCTACCCAGGGCAGGGCTCCCTCTTCCCTGCCAGACTTTCCCTGCATGTCGAAATGGAGGTAAATAAACACTTGGTCACCATAGTATTTTTTTTTCCAGCTTGTATCATCACATCCTGACTGAAAAAATCCTATAGCTGTGGGTTGTTATGTAACTCTTAAACTTGGATTGCTTTATGTTTGTTACTTTTTGTTAGACATCAGATGAGCTCCCACAAAGCTAGAATTTGATAAATTGTCATTGTTTTTCATTTGTCTCTTGAGTTTGTTTTTTATTTTGAAAATACCGTTTTTTTTATTCAGATTTTCTTCATGTGTGGAGAAACAATGTTTATGGAATAGCAGATGGTTGGGTTGGTTTGAAATGATCAATCATTCTTAAATGTTAAAGCCTGCCATAGCAGTAGTTTTATTGGACTAAGGTACAATAAGCTTTCATTGCTGGGAAACACTATCTTAAATCTCCTGCGTAGTTGGATTTACTAATTTATGTATTTTATATCACACTGTTCTAATTAGTAGGCACACATTGTCATGTTTGTTTCCTCACAGAAGTGGGGCGGCTGGGCCGCTCCTCCTCTGCTGCTGGTGTGAGGCAAGTGGGTGGAGGAGATGTCCAAAGGCAGAGCAGTCTACCAGCACGAGAAGCCTTGAATCAGGTGAGTATTTTGTGCCGGGCTTTGTGCTGCAAAGATGAAACGCTTCGAAACACAGTGCAGTTTCCGTGAACATTACTACAGTTTTTCTAATTACAAAGTCCCCTTTCTGCTGGAGACAGTACTCCTCCGGATCTATTTATAGCTGGTAGATATACCCACTTAGCAGAATAAGGGTCTATCTTTAAAACTTGTGTGAGACCGCTGAAAACATGTAATCGGCAAATGTGGCACTAAGGTGGATGTGAAAAGATGCTGGATTACGTTCGGATGGGATAAACTGCAGTCTTCTAGTAGCACATTTTGCCCAGTTTTTGGCTCCAAGGCAAGTGCTGACGCAGTCCGAGTGTGCTGCAGAGACGTCTGCATGGGTCTGATTGACCCTCCCTTTACCTCCCACAGCAGCTGCAACACTGCCTTCAAGTGGCTGTTTGTGGGAACTGCAGTTTGGTTAGCTCTCTCCAATTATGGCCATTGCTAACTGCACAGTAGTATAGATTCCTTTGCAGTTCTATCTTTTATGCCGGTATAAGTTCAGTGACCTCGCCTCTTCCTGCCTGCAGCTGCACGGCATGGCGGCGCCTCCAACGCCCTGCAGCCCCAGCGGCCCCGCCGCGTCCCGGCAGCAGCAGCAGCAGCAGCTCCAGCTCCACCAGCAGCAGCTGCAGCTCAAGCAGCAGCTCCAGCAGCTCCAGCAGCAGCACCACCTGCAGCTGCAGTTCCAGCAGCTCGCCCAGCTGGCACAGGGCCAGCCTCCCATGGGGGGCACCACCCCGTCCACGGCGCAGACCCAGAGGGACGGCAAGCTGTTGGAAGTCATCGAGCGCAAACGCTGCCTGTGCAAGGAGATCAAGGCCCACAGGCGGCCGGACAAAAGCTTGTGCAAGCAGGACAGCATGCCCATCCTTCCGAGCTGGAGACGGACACCCGAACCCCGAAAAACCGGCACGCCACCCTGCCAGAGGCCCCAGGCCGTTGTGTGGGACACAGCTATTTGAGGTGGAAAGACAAACCGGTCCCCAAAACACACAGACGGGCAAAAGACAGGTGACTAAATGACAGTGAAATGGAACTTGAAAAGCCTATCAGAAGTTCTGGTGACAATAACCACAAAAAAGAGACTGTAGACAGAGATGGAAAGACTCTACTGATGTTATTGCGATAGAGAAAACTGGAACAAATACTTTGTGGGGAAAAAATACAGAGGTAAAGAAAAATAACTATAACAATCAAACTAAATAAATTTCTTACCCATTTTATTTGTATATTCTCTATGCGATATGCCACACTGATACGTTCGAATTGCCAATGATTTTGTGCAACAAAGCACCAGTACTATTGCTACAAAAGAAGACAGACACTAAATAAATAACAATTAGGTCGTTTTCTGGGATTGGTGTTGCCAAATTTTCTCCTGACTACTTGAGACACAATGAAATCATGTATTTTTTAAAAATCACTTTTGTCCAACAAGCAAACAAACAACTCCGTGGATGAGAAAAAGGCAAGACTCATAGGTATGTTATTGAAGTGTTATTTGAAATTGTGAATGTATATGAGATGTCTTGATATCAATTGATTGTCCTCGTGGATGCAAATAATCATCAATGAGAAGTAAAAGCTACCTACCGTATCCGTTTGCATATTTGTAATGTAAATCTATTTACTTTCTCAACGTTTCTGCAATTTTATAGCAATATGCTCCCGCAGCCGGGGCAACATAATTAAAACTTGTGTCAACTAGCCTAACATACATATCTAAGACTTGAAAAGGTCATATTTACTGTGTCATTCTCTGCATGTCATAACGGACATACAGTGTTGTTAAAGAAAAAGAACAAAAAAAAGTATATGTAGAAATGATCATGTCAGACTTTCACATACAGCAGATCTTCGCTACGATGATGTGTGGTTTGTAGATAAAGATGAATATGTTGCCGTCGGGTGTGAGATGCTTCAGTAGAAAAGGTGGCACATGCAGTGCAGTCCAGCCAAATACAGACACAGATCAGTGGAACAAATAACTTCATCACTCATGCTTATCCACAGTTGCACATTAGGGATTATTCCACCAGACGGGAATAACAGGCACTGACACCCATCACCACAGACTGTGCAATATGGTGCAACTGATAAGACTGTGAGTATCGATCACCTCAAACAGAATGCTGGAACAATCTGCACAAAGCATCATATATGCTTAGGAGAAAACCTAAAACCCTAATGTATTGTAAATAGACATGTAAAACTGTATTGAAAATGTAGCAATGATTTCCATTTTCATACTTGTAATCAATACATATTATGTAGCATATACTGTATAAACATAACTTTGTTCACTTGTTGTTTTTTTCTAAAAGAATTAAGTACTTTATCTGCTGCAGCCAGTCCATGCATTACTTAGAGTTCTACTAGTAAACAGTGAGCCCTCTAAAGAAAGGCACAGGCCAACAGTTGTTTATTCAGATTTATGCAAGACTCCCTTTAAGCTCCGTTAACAAATTGTTTAAGGCCCTTTTCTACATTCAGTTTTATTTCTGTACAGATTTCAACAACTCACAGTCTTGACATTTTATAATACTTTGCTGCTATCTTGAATTAACAGTGTTGTTCATTCAACTACATGGTTTTACCATGACAATCTTTAATAATATAGTGCTTATTGTTACTTTACTATTTTTTCTCAAAGCCACATGAAATGAAGTTTGTACTTTGAAAAGTCCACCCCTCTGTAATAGTACTAAGGCGCTTGAATGTCTCTTGGTTGTTGTTGTTTTCTGATAGTTAGCACCAAACTGTACAGTACAGTACACCCAGTGAAACGATGACCTGTCTAAGTGTTTGAAAGTCACTTCTTGGCCTTTTTGTTTTCGTTTCTCCTGCTCGTTTTTGAGGGTTTCTTTTTTAAGCTCTCTGTTGTCAAACAAACGCAGGTCTGGTTCAGCGAAATGGGAAAGTGCAATGCATGCAGAGATTCCTCACACTGAAATGTTCCAGTGATGCTTACTATTGTGCCCAGTTTGATTTGAAATCCCAAGTAACCACCCCCCTATAATTCCTTCTCACCCACTGATACAAAACCCAAGTTAGGCTATCAATTCCAAAATAGTTTACAGAAGCTGTTGGTTTTGTGTGTCTTCTTAAACCGTGGCCATTATATGAGTGCCATACTATATTGATATGGTAAGATACGGTGTACCTTGGAAATCACTGTAGTGCTATATTTGCATTGATATTGTCATTGAAAATAAATTTTATATAATGAACTTTACACAACAAACAGACGTGCTGAGTGTTTTGTGTCACATGTGGGATGTAGGCTGCAGCCTGTGGAGAGGAAAACTGTTGCTCCTGTAGTACCTTCGGTGTCCAGGGGAGGGCGCTACAGCTCCAGCATCACCGCTGCTGAGGCTCCACGCAACAGACGTCAGCTGAGTTTATCCAAACACAGCAGACTGACTAATCACACAGCTCATGCAGTCGCAGTTTAACATAGTTTCCTCTTTTTGCAAAATGAAATTTTCCATAAATATGGAGTTGCACACAGAGAGCTTCAAGCATCATTTCAGTGTGTGCAGTGGTGGGATTCCTGTACACAAATAAACTAAATAAATAAGTACAATTATCTATATAAAGATAAATTGCTCAAGGATAGTCATGATCATTTAGAAAAGTTGTGCATAGTCTTTTTTTCCTTGTCTTCACAACCAAAAATAATAAACTTTTGGAATAGTTTGAGCACAACACATGGCTGGACTTCTATATTGATCTGGGCTGAATGATGAATTTAAACACTTTGGGTCAGAGGCGTAAACAGAAACTTCAGGGTCCCTGTGGGAATATCTAAAAAAAAAAATCTATTAGATTTTTTTTTCTCTGGATACGTGACGCAGAGAGCCCATCAGCCAATAGAGAAATACCTTCTCCTGGCACAGGATTGGCTTTTGGCAACGTCAGTCATGCTCCGGAGTCACGCTCCGGGACACGTGATTGGCCGGCCGGCGGGAGGAGGAGGGCACGGTTTGCTGCGGATGACAGATGAGGTTGTGCTTGTGTGTGTGTGTGTGTGTGTGTGTGTGCGCGCGCGTGTGTGCGTGTGCGTGTGAGAGAGAGTGCGGGGTGGCGGGGTGCTTGTGGGGAGAGGCGGGGGGAGCGCTTTACCGCAGTATCACTACATTTCTGCACCACTCATCAAAACTCTGCGGCATGCAGACAGGAGCTGGGGGGGAGGGCAGTGATTAGGCTGGCTCACCGTGCTGGACCGCTACATTGTCTGCTAGCCATTCAATTCTTCAGACAGGGCAGAGCACAGTAACACTCGCTTGCTTTTGATTCCCACTCATTGGAGGGCGCACAGAGCTCTGGGAGACCTCTAATCCTCCTCACACCTCCACGGCTGCGCAGCGGGAGCCATCACTCCAGATTTCTGCAAACCCAGCACACCGCTTCTTTTTTTTGTTAAATAGAAGTTCGGAGGCAAAACTTTTTTTTTTTGCGTTAAGGCAAAATGGCAAATGACCGCGAGAAAGGCGATTGGAAGGACTCCGTGTGGAACCCGAGGACGCGGGAGTTTCTGGGCAGAACGGCCAGCAGCTGGGGTGAGTATACTGTCCGGCCACAGCTCTGCAGCAAAGCCGGCCCCGGCAGGTGGCTGCCCCCTTCTCTCTGAGGCGTCTCCCGGAGCTTTAACACTCCTCTGAGCACGCTGCTCTGTAGAAATAGATGTGCGCAGCGCGCTGCGGCTGATCCCGGCCCGGGTCGGCTGAGATGCGGTAAAGGGATGCCTGGCGCTGCCCCATTACAATCTGCTGACGAAATCTGACTGCGGCACCGCAGCTGTGGAAGCCGGCACATCCCCCCCACCCT